CCCCCCCCCCCGCGTGCTATCAGTGGACTGGCGGGCAACTTCATACTGCTCTTACTGGACTCAAAGTGAATCAGCTGCCTAACGTAAGTCAGGGCTATGTATCTAGAAGGGCCAATGAAGGCACTGTGTGTTCCAGAAAGCTATAACTGCTGGAATATGGTAGAGAGCTCACACAGGTGGCCTCAGGTCCAAATGGAGCGTGACTATAGAGCCTGTGAACAGATAGCAGGAGAGGAGGCTCAGAGAGGCTGAGGAAACACATTAATAGTGTAAGACTCTGGAGTCTCCGGGGAAGTTGACCCACAGGCCCTTCCCAGAGGCCATGTAAGCAATAAACAGTTATGGGGTGGGAGGAGGGGGTGGGGGATGGGAGTGGGGCAGGGTGGGGGGTTGGGGATGAACGGGGGAGGGTTGTGTAGGAACCCCAGTGATACAGCCTTTGTGACTCGTCACCTATGCTTGGGTGGTCCAGATGCCGGGGTCACCCCTAATAAACTCTCCAAGCTCAACCTGGATGGAATCATTTCCTGGATCTTCAGCAGCCCTCTCTGTCTGGGTGCAAATGAAATAGACTCCTCAGGACAATCACCCAGCCCTGTGGTTTCTGTGGGTGGCTGTATACACTGGCCACGCCCCTGGTCTTGTTACTGTCATGGCAGGGAGTAAGGAAATATTAGGGCTTTGAAAAGAGAGGTTAAATGGGAGGATATAAAAAACATTAGTTTGATTTTTTTTTCCTTGCGAAACTTGAGGGTAAGGAAAGAGAGCAGAGAAGGCGTCTACAGAGGGGAGGGAATAGTCGAGTAAATACGGTAATGACCTGGTTGTGTTTCTGGTGGGGCACTGGAAGGCAGTGTTTTCCTAATGGGTTGCATGCACCACTTGGGAGCGAGCAATGTTTACTTCTTTTTTTTGCCTCTCCTCCTATCACCACCTGGAGGGAAAGCTGATAAGCAGAGTAAAGGAAGAGGTGAGAGCAATTTACTTAAAAAGGGAAAGCAGGAATATGCATGGTGATCTCATAGATTTGATACAGAAAAAAAAAGCCTTTTATTTTATTTTTTTTAAATAAAAGACCTGCTCTCAGTTTCTAAAAATGAGTACCCAGATAGCAAAGTTCTTCTAAACATCACATTTTGCTGTTTGTATCAAAAACGGATGTTTAGTCATGGTAAATGACTCACTGTAAGACTAGCCTAAAACTCTCAGGGCTTCCTAAAATCCACCGCTGGATATAATGTGCTTGCAACATGGGTGTATATTGTTTAGAACCATGTTTTACGGCCTGCTACAGCAAATGAGAACCGTGAAAGCAGCCCACTGGGGACAGGTGAGAGCGACCTGTCACCCCTGTTTTCTCCCTTCCCAGCTGCCTCGGCTGTTTGTCCTGTTAAAGATGGCAAATCTAAACAGTCATCTCAGCACAAGGTCCGGTTGGACAGTGGGAAGAGCACTTTGAACTTATAAATAACAAGGAACCCTAAACCAAACTTGGGGTCATCTGCCTTACTGTTTATTTTAGATGCTTCTCAGAGGATATCTATTTTAAGTGAAAATAATTTAGAGAATGTTATGTATCATCAAATCTGGAGGGCTCCAAGCCAACACTTCCCATCTCTCTCCTTTATTTTACTCTGCAGCCCAGGCAGGCCTAGGGCTTCTGACCCTCCTGGCTCAGCCTTCCACAAACTGGAATTTGAGGTAAATACTACTCTGCCTGGCTTGTCACCCTTCACTTCGGGAGCACACCTCTGCATGTGGTTTTCATTCCTTGTGCTGTGACAGCACAAGCCGACCCCAATTAACCACGACCTCAGAGGCGGAGAGACCAACTGTCCTGTCATCTGACATTGCTTCTTCTAGCAAAAACCAAGGGGGAGAAACTGCATCACAAAACCCGCCTCTTAAACAGATCCGCTGAGCACCAGGCAGAAAGCAGTGAAGAATACATCTTCACACGCCAGCCCAGCCGTAAAGGGCTCTCGGGAGGGAGCAGCCTGTGTTTGTCTTCCCTGGCTCAACTAGTTCTGTGGCCTCAGGTGACTGCTAGACACTGATGGCTTCCTCCTCCGCGAAGGGGAGTCTCCATCACAAGGCAAGCGTGAGTGAGGGCAGGGCAGACAGTAACCACACCATCCACTCTAGAAAGCTCTTGAAATCACTACGTGTACAAACTACGCTTTTGTCAGTCTGTCTCACGTCACTGAAGCAGTTCCTGCTGGAGCCTGCTGTGCCCTGCTGCCATCCCGACCCACAGCCATATCCCCAGGGCAGGGCTGGGCACTTCAGGCTCCTCCGCCTCCCTAGCTGTTCTTTCCTGCCCCCTCCTCTCTCTCCCCTTACAGGGCTCTGTGCCTTCCTTTCTCAATGCTGATTCTCCTTGGTTCTGGGGCCAAGCTCCAGGCAGAAACCATGGTGGGAGGGGAATCACTGAGAAGCGTTAATACTGCGAGACTAATTTAAACGTCCTCACTCAAGAAAATGGACCTCATAACCTTAGAAGGGCAAGCCTCTTCCAGTACAAAATCTGTATGAGGAGATCACTCTTACCCGAAGCCGTCGCACCAAGAGGTGCCAAGTGGATCCTCTGGCCAGCTGACCCCACTTCTTTCTTGAGAAAGGAAGGCATGTATCCTGTCTGGTTGTAAGTGGTGTAGCTTCCAAGGGTTCCTGCCGATGCATCAGGGGGTTTGGGTCAGAAGGAGGCTTTTAAGGTGCTGCAGAGCGACTCTGACTACTATACTACCCTTCTTACTGCAAACTGCTGTTTTACGAGCTACTGTGTTCTAGGCACCATGCTATGCCAGTCCCAGAAACCCTCGCTCAGTCCCGGAACAGCTCAGAAATGCCCTGTGGTTCTGATAGTGAACGGTTTGCCTGGGCTCCCAGTGAGTAAAGAATCGAGCTAGGATCTGAACCCTGAACACACTGGACTTTTTGATGACACCAGTTCTTAGGATGTGTGTGTGTGCGTGTGTGTGTGTATGTTGAAGATATTTATAGGCTTCTAGGTTCTGAATATGTACCTACAGCCAACAAATGCTCGCCATTCAGCCTCACCACCATTGTTAGCGAGATCAGTCTGAAGGTGGCGCCGGATGGGCTGATGAGGGATCTAAAGGCAGAGCCCATTTGAGAGATTAGGTTGGAAGCAAGCTGGAGAAGAGAACCGGGTCGGGGGAGGGAGGAGGGAAATAGAGTCTCTGTGTTTGTAGCCTAGGTGACTGGATGGCAAGCATTAGGGGACAATGTGGAAGGAGAATCGGGTTTGGGGGAAGGAGGTGTAGAGGAGGATATTTGGGTCAGGATGAGGGAGTCGGCTTAGAGATGAATGATGTCCAGAGGATGCGCCATCCCATGACTGGTGCATCTGTATAGTTTTTGTTTTTTTTAACACTAATACATTTAAGCAAGTACAGCGGCCGACACTGACCAACTGACCAGCCTTCTCACCCCTAGCGCTCACCATGAATCACTAAACCATCCCGTTACTTCAAAAGGCGGGTCTGAGACTAGTAGAGGATGACCTTGAACTTCTGATCCTCTCCTCTCTGCTACTCTCCGGAGTGCTGGGATTACAGGTGTGTGCTACCCCACCTGGTTTATGAGGTGCTGGGGACTTGAGCCTGCAGCATCACGTATGTTAGACAAGCTGAACTCCATCCCCCAACACCTCAAAAGACTTGGAAAGAAGTTCAAAGCCATGATAGCATCCCGTAGCCACTGTGGAGCGTGGTGAGCCCTTGCTCACCTCCTCTACACCATGGCAAATGCAGTAACTACCGGATGTCACAAGCACTAGGCATGAATGACCGCTAAGGAAATGGTACTTCTTCCATCTTATAGGTGGAGAAAATGGCTTTAATAACTAACTGAAAACAAAAATAACGGGAAACAAGCAAAGCAGGAACAAGGCAGACACTAGAAGCCACTCACTAGGCAGCTGTTCACTGCTGTCTTACTGCCAAAGGACTTTACGAAGAATACACAGACCTGACAATCAGTTCTTAAATTATCTTGGCTTATTACGTGAGGTGCTTGCTTGCTGCAGGGTTTTGTGTATGTGAGACTGGAAAGGTTTTTTAAGCTGGAAGCTAGTTGCTGGTATTTGCTGTAGAAACAGCTAATGTCAATCAATACCCCACCTCCTTAAATCTACCACCGCCATTAATGCTGGTTTTCTTTACAATGGTTGTGAATGTGTAAGAAAGGAATTTCAAGATTTTTTTTTTCTAAATCCTAGAAATACTGATCACAAAACAAGAAACTATTCTTTACTTTCAACAGAGTGATTTTGGTGATTCCTAGAAATGGCCACAACTAATTTATGGCATAATTAGAAAGGCGAGCACAGAGAATCTGAAAGGAAAGAAGGCGTTCTAGATGGCTTGAGAAAGCTGCTCTTCCCTCGGCCCTGACCTGACCCTGAAGCAGGTCACCTTGGCCTTCTGTGAAGGACTTGGGGCTGCGGCTGAGAAGAGAGCCAGTGAGTCAAAGCCATCCGTTCGTTTACAGTGCCCAGAAATTACCTTGCCGGTCCTCTAGCTTCTCAGCGAACTTTTCAGAGCATGACAGGTGTTCAATCGGTTTAATAATGCTTTCTTCTAAAAGAAGGTGGGTGAGAGAAAGAGCCGCAAGGGGGGTGTTAAAGGAGAGCAGAGGGAAAATGGGTTAGGTGGTTAGTGGAGAGACCCAGAAAGAGCTCTACAGTGAGAACCGCCTCCCTGGGCCGTCACAGCTTCCCCGCGGTGCTGACTGCGAATTAAAATGCTCCAAACTTTGGCACCGTCATCCGAACCGATCTGTATAACTCCTAGCCTCTGGAAATACTACTTTGAAATTGCTGAGATGAAATAAATGGATGACAGAGGTGTAGTCTGGTGCTCCAGCCTTGTTAAATGGGCAAGCGGAACTGGTAGCGGAACTTGGCAGAAGTCTGTAAACTACAGCTGCCTCCAAACACAAAACCCAAACCACACTTATGCGGAGGATTCTACACCGGTCAATGACTGATGAGAACTTCTAGATTGTGGAGAGTTAGAATGTTACAATCCAGAGCCAAGGATCTTTGTCTCTTTTTAGTCCATTTAAAAGCCATTTATTGCCGACCCCCAGTGTCTGACCTAATATCTTTAAACTTAACGAAACCCATAAAATATACTCTTACCAGATCACGAGTGTCTAGCAACCCAAAAGCTAAGATGTCATTGATAGCATGTGAAACCTATTGCAGAGTTCCATCCTCCTCAGTTGCCACCACACACACACACACACACACACACACACACACACACACACACACATACACTTGCCATCCCACCAATGTATTGGGCAAATGCCTTGAATTGTCAATTTCTTCTGTAATTGATAAAGTCTCATGTAACCACTTTTAGGTTGGAACGTGTTACCCAGGCAACCTGAATTTGCTTCCCAGCCACGGTTACTCATATGTGGCTCAAGAATAAACTACCTCTTGTTGCATTTGAACTGCGAGCTGAGTTCCATGCGAGCACGTCCAGGGTGCTGATGTGACGTCAGGGTGCTGACGTGACTAGACTGTTCATGTGCTGTGACCACCACCATCAAACTCTCCTGACCAGTCATTTGAATGCAACTGGCCCCCACAATCTCATAAGGAGTGACACTATTAGGAGGCGTGGTTTTGTTGGAGGATGTATGGCCTCGGAGGAAGTGTGTCACTGTGGGGAGTGGGCTTTGAGGTCTCTGATGCTCAAGCTGCTTCCTGTGTCACAGTCTACTTCCTGATGCCTGTGTATCAAGATGTAGCCAGCACCATGTCTGCCTGCACACTGCCATTCTCCCTGCCATTGATGATAAATTCACTGAACTTCTGAAGGAAAAAAAATGTTTTTGCTTTATATGAGTTGCCATGGTCATGGTGTCTCTTCACAGCAGTAGAAACCCTAATAGGATACCAGTGCTATTCACATTTTAAAGAACTTAAAACTTCCCACTTTTCAGTTGATAACTAAAATTTTTCACCATCATCACGGACCTTATAAAACCAATTTTATCTCTCTTTTAAATGGAATCTAAATGTCACCTGAATAAAAGTCTACCAGCTCTGACAGACAAGCACATGAGCTGACACCCTTTCATGGGCAAAAGTCTCATCGCCATCCCTTACTCCTAAATTGTACGTTAGTTCCCAGATTCTATCTAAATAGAACTTTAGACTTAAAAGTATAAACTCATCATTCAAAAATTGTGTATGTTAGAAAAACACGTAGATTTCTGTAATCATAGTAAATATGCTTTCCTATATTGTTAAATTATAATGATTCATTGCATATAACTAATAAAAGATAGCATTATAACATTATAAATTTTGATGTCTAGACACGGATGGTAACTATTGCTAGGAACACAGTTTAATGAGGCATGTTCTTTCAAGTTGTCTATGTTCCAGCAAGTGAGTGATTGTTAGAGGGGCAGGCAAGGCCTCAGCCATAGCTCTGTTTTCTTGTCTTGATTTTCACTTTTGCAGAGAGAAGCCTGGGGAAACCTTGTTGATGTGAGCACTTTACTGAGGATCATTTTGTTACTATTCTCTGCACTCCAGCTTTATGGACCATAATGACATAGCGATCTGTGACAATGGTTTTAAATTAATTGTCAGCCAACAGTTCAATGAGGTCCTCTTTTAATTTTATAAAGGCTAAAGACTGGAAACCCCTTGACTTTGAAGCAGGAGGTGACACAGTCTGTGTAGCCCAGGATGGCCTCAAACTCTGGATCTTCCCAGCAGCCACACAACTTCCACAAGGATTAGCTCCCCATTCATGAGGGTTTCCTCGTCTTTCAATGTATCCAACTGTCATTTTGACTGGCACCTTGGACAATGTTATTCGACTTGGCCAGTGAGAAGTCTTTTCCATTCATGAGGAGGGAGAACTAAAGGGCGTCAGCTAAGAAGGCAGGGCCACCTAGGAAAGCACCCAGGAAGGACCCTGGATGAGGGAGGGAGGGGCTGATAAACTGAAGATGACCTGTGCTCAAGAATGATTTGGGTGATTTTGTGTACCCCTTTCTCCCCTAGGGTCATGCAGCTGGTCACTGGACAACGCCGCCTGTGGTCTATTTACAAACAGGCATCAGACACTGACAGGTGGCTTATGTCTCTTACCTGCATTATTCCTCTTGAAGGCAAGTTCCGCCCCCACGGATCCCAACGACTTAGGAAATAGTTGGCTATTCCAAGCGTGTGCATTAATATCCTTGCCCCCGGCTACCAAAGACACGTTCTTGGGATTCACACCTAAAGAAAACAGCAAAGCATTCATGTTCAAAGTTAGAGTGACTGTGAACCCAAAGGATGATGAACATTTAGACACAGCCTAGACATCCTGGGGACAGGAGTCCACACATACATGTAGGTTAGCTAAAGCAGAGCTAAGGTTTGCTCCTTTGAGTGAACCCTATCATGATCCTGAGCCCTCACACAACCCTGGAATACTGACAGCACACGCTTCACCACTTGTAGCAATAAGCGCTTGACACTCCTGTAAAATACCCCGTGGAAAGATGAGGAGGAACATTTTCCTGCAAAACCACGATGATTCCATGTCCTTCACTTGCTTCAAATGCATACTTGGACCAGACCCCTGATGAACAGTTGACAGAGCAGGAAGGAAAAGTGTGACCTGGGACACAAAGAAACCCAAGAAGTTCTCACTGTGGGACATAGCAAATGCACTTGGGAGGAGGATGGCTTTTGTGGTTTTTTTTTTTGTTGTTTTGTTTTTTTGTTTTTTTTTTTTTTTGGAGAAAGGGTTTCTCTGCATAGTCCTGGCTGTCCTGGAACTCACTTTGTAGACCGGAGTGGCCTCGAACTCACAGAAATCTGCCTATATGCCTCCCAAGTGCTGGTATTAAAGATGTGTGTCACCACCAACCAGGTGAGCAGGTTGGCTTTTACTATGTTCTTTTGAAGTCTGAAATGTCAGTTCTGTCTTGGGCTTTGAACTAGTGGCCAAAGGGAGTCTTTGTAACTTCTGTGTAGAAGGTCTGAGCGCGTCCTGAGTTTGTTTGCGTTAGCTTGATTATTGCTCAGCTGAACTGGGATGCTGACAGCTTTACCCGGTCTAAGCCTGTGGGTTTCATGCTGGTGATGTCACGAGCTGATGTTGGTGTCATCACTGACGGAGTTAGCACAGTCCCCTGGTAGGTGGACTTCCCCACTCACATGCTGGCTTCCTTAGGAAGACTTCATGTGTATGAGACATAAATAGTGTTTCTTTTGAAACCAGAGCTATGGAGCTTGAAGAGCCCATTATGGCTTCTCTGGGGAAGCACTAGTTGAGTAAATAGCTTTTCTGTCTTACAAGATTAATCCCTGTGGATCCAGCTTCTGGTGAACACTTACTAATGGAGCTATAATTGACAGCTATCTGACAAAGAAGATGCATGCAGAACATGAAAGGGAAGGGGAACATTTGAGGAAAAGGACAGGCAGGAAGGGTCAGTAGCAAGGAAAGGTGAGAAAGGAGCAAGTCTGAGCAAGGCCACCTTAGACGTGTATGACCATGTCATAATTATATATTTTTATACAAATTAAAAGAAATTAAGATTAAAAAGAAAGGTGCAATATGATACAATTTCTTTTATTAAAATGTTTACTCAGCCAGGCATGGTGGCCCATGCCTTTAATCCCAGCACTCAGGAGGCAAAGACAGACAGATCTCTGTGACTTTGAGGCCAGCTTGGCCAACAAAGAGAGTTCAAGGACAGTTAGAACTGTTATACAGAACCCCACCCCCTCAAAAAAATTACTCAAAAGGCGGTGTGGTCCTGGGGAGGTGGCTAGGCAGGTACTCTCTGTACACATGTGAGGACCTGAATTTGGGTCCCCAGCACCAAGGTTAAAAGTCTGCTGCGGTGTGCACACTTGTAACCCCAGCACTAAAAGGTGGGTTTAGAAAGGTTCCAGAGCCATGACGATAGTCTTAAATTGGCATATATTTTTGGTCTTAAAACTTACTCTTTATAAAAGCGAGCATAGTATTGCAAGCCTTTAACTCCAGAATTTGGGAGGCAGAGGCAGGCAAATCTCTGTGAGTTTGAGACCACTCAGGTCTACAGATCGAGTTCCAGGACTGCCAGGGCTGTTACACAGAGAAACTCTGTCTCAAAAAGCCAAACCAAACCAAAACAAAACAAAAATTCCAAAACCAAAACAAAGAAAAACAACCTATTTATATATTTAAATTTTTGTGCATTCAATATAATTAAAATCATTTGAACCAAAAAATGGCATTGTGATTTAACCGCATTTTACAGACTATAGGATGTCTTGAACCACCTAGAATTTTACTCTAGATTTCAGAAAAAAAAGTAACAAGTTTTTTTTCCTTTATTTTTGATATTATAATGTAATCACATCATTTCTCCCTTCCCTTTCCTCTCTCCAAATCCTCCAATATTCTCTTCCATAGTCTTTCAAAACTTTTTCAGTGATTGTTACATGCACTTATGTACACGTATATGTATATTCCTAAATATAACCAGCTCAGTCTGTACAATGTCACTGGTGTGTTTTCAGGGCTGACCATGTGGTTTTGCACAGAGAGATGGCATATGATTTCTCCCACTCTCTTAATTCCTTAGCTGCCTGTAGTTCACGGCTGAGGCCTCATGGTCTTCCACCTGCGACCCACCCACTTTCAGCAGGTCTACTGTTGTCCTTGTTTAGCTCAGGTAGGTGTTGGTGAGACTGTCTGGGTGTGGCTTGTGACCTTCCTAGGACACACAATGCCCCAGCAAACTCCCTGATTCTCTGGCTCCTACAGTCTCTTCCACATTGTTCCCTGAGCTTTTGGTGTGGGGGTTGTGTTGCAGGTGTATGAGCTGGGAATGGGCTCCACATCTCTGCATTTTGGTTGGTTATGGTTTTCTGGGGTGGTCTCTGTCTGTTGCAAAGAGGTTTCCATGGTGAGGGGTGAAGACTGCACCTATCTGTGGTAGAAAGGCAAATATGTAGAGTGTAATTAGAGATTATGCTGCCTGAAGAAAGTGTGGTTTTAGGTTCTCCTCCTTGACTTCAGTAGCCTTCGGCAGGGATTTTTCTTAAAGTGAATACATCTACTAGTGAAGATAGTCGTTTTAATTCAAGTTCTTAGGATAAATATTCTAATTTTGTTGGAAAGATACCAGCTAGAATTGAAATTTTATGAGTGGGCAAGCCTTGACTGGATATCTATAAACAAACTACGAAGAGGCAGAAATACAGCTTTATGCCAATGATACAATACATCATTACATAATAACCTCTTGTCTCAAGGATATTTTGAGAAGTCAGTTAGTAGGGCTGGAGAGATGGCTCAGGGGTTAAGAGCACCAGCTGCTCTTTCTAGAGGTCCCGAGTTCAATATCCAGCAACCATATGGTAGCTCACAATCATCTGTAATAAGATCTGGCACTCTCTTCTGGCCCGCAGGCATGCATTGTGCAGGCAGGACATTGTATACAATTTTTAAAAAACCCCAAATAAATAGAAGTCAGTTAGCAAATTTAGCTGAGTACATACCATGTGCCAAGAAGTGGACAAGGCAAAAGTGTTGAGCATGACAGACCAGATTCTGCTCTTTTGGCTCTTACAGTCTAACATGGAGGGTGATGTAGGAGGAGGGACTGCTCTGTTTGTCCTGGCCACCTGGTTAGCGTAGACCCAAAATGATCACACAGGAACTGTACTAATTTAATCACTGCTTGGCCCATTAGCTCTAGCTTCTTATTGGCTAACTCTTAACATCTTAATTTAATCCATCTCCATTAATCTGGTAGCGCCACGCGGCAGTGGCTCACCAGCTAAAGTTTTGGCATGTCTTACTCTGGCGGCAGCTCCATGGTGTCTCCCTGACTCCACCCTTCTTTCTCCCAGCATTCAGTCCAGCTTTCCTTGCCTACCTATGTTCTGCCTTGCTACAGGTCCAAAGCAGTTCTTTATTCATTAATGGTAATCACACACACAAAGGGGACACCCACATCAAGGTGACTCTTATAATTCATAGACTTCTTAGAAAAGTATGGTCCCAAGAAGGCTGATAACAAAAGTAACTAATTTTTTCTTTTAAAAAAGCAATTTTAGGCCAGAAAGATGGCTCAGTGGGTAAAGGTGCTTGCTGAGTAAGCTGGGAGAACTGAAGCTGATCTAGGTGGAAGGAGGGAACCCACAAGTCATCCTTGGACCTGTGTGTGCACACACATGCACACACTCTAAAAGAAAAATCACACTAATAGTGCGGAAAGCAATTTAAAGCTAAACCACAATCACAACCAGGTTTGGTGGCATGCTCCTGGGTGGGGCATCCGGGTCAGCCGAGGATCTAACCAGGGCGAGAGCTAAGAGATGCACAGTCCAGAGGCAGCAAGGACAGCGTGGTGGAGAGGGAGCAGGTTCTGTGACCATGTGTTAAAAGGGATCAAAGGGGGCTAACACAGGAAAGTCAAAGGGCACAGAATTAACAGGCTCTGCGGGGGGGGGATGGTGAGTGAACAGTGGGAGAGAGAAGGTTCCACGGAACAGGATTTCAAAAGTGCCATGGAATGCGCCTTTCTGCTGTCCAGTCGTGGAGACACTGGCTCCCTAACGGAGTCTTAGTTTCAGGGTGAGATCAGAGGGCACCACTGAGAGACCAAGTGTTGGGGTTTTCACTACATACATTATCTGCAGCCGCCTTTCAGTAACGGAGGACCTAAGGCTTATAGAGTGAGAGATCACCAGAGGGTGCTAAACTTCAGTCACTGAAATGCTATATATATATCTTTTCTGTTTATTTTTCATTTTGGTTTTTTGAGACAGGGTTTTCCTGTGTAGCCATGACTGTCCTGGAACTCACCCTGTAGACCAGGCACCCACCTGTCTCTGACCCTAAATGCTGGGGTTAAATGCATGTGACACTACCGCCCCACTTTGTATTTTTCCAATAGGGAGCAATTCCTTGAGTCTATTGGCCTCCGTGCTTTTGCTGTCACTTAGGACACTCGTGGTTCCAGCACCAAGCTTGACAAAGCTGCAAGCACTGAGGGTTCCAGGGCTGTGCTGCTCTCTAAGGCAACAAACCTCAGCGCTTGCACTTCGTTCTGGCTCCTCTCACTTCCTGAAGGACTTCAGCCCCCACTCATCCCCTCCTCCTCTCCCCCATCATCAGTTTCTACATCTGCAAGGGGGTCACATCCTCCTATGTGCAAACCTACTCATTCGTTGTGTTCAGGATCTTCACGCAGGCTCAGCTACCAGCAAGACCCATGGCTCACACTCACATCCACATCACACCCGCTTCTCCCTCTGCTGCCTCTGCTGTGGACACAGGCAATAGCATTTTGATGTCTCTCCATCTGTTTGGGCCTCTAGCCTGTTCTTCCTGGCGGCTGGGAGAAGCTTGTAAGCACACACAGTACATCGTTTGGGAAACAATACTTTTTAAAATTTATGTTTCGTAAAAACTTGCGATGAGAGTGCCCAATTGCTTTAATGACATTGAGCACGTACTAAATAAATGGACGGCTTTGGTTGGAGAGGCTTTGGGGAAGCAGACGTATCATTTGGTGTTCTGTGTGTTTTCTCTTTCTCTCTTTCTTTCTCAATGGTGCTAGGGGCTGGGCACAGAAGCTGGGCCTGGGCATAGTGGCCGAGTGCGCTGCCACTGCCCAGCTCTCGGCTCTGTGTTTCTTGAACAGACTTAACTTCCATTGCTCACAGAGACAGGAAGCTGATTTCTACAGGTATAGCTGCCAGAGAGTCCTGGGACTCTGCTTTCTCCTTCCCTGGCCCCTCTGTTCAGAGATACCACGGCCCTTTGCCCTATCAAAACTCTGATGAACATTAATCCTTTGTGTTGTTTTGGACCAGGGTATCAGACAGCTCAGGCTGGCCGGGAATCCCTAATACTCCTGCTCCTGCCTTCTGAGTGCTGGGATTGAGTGGTCAATATTAAGTGGTCAATTTTCTCCACTTACCTGGGAGGTATCTTGATTGTTTCAAATAGTACTGCTTAGCAGTTGAAGCAGTTGACAAGTTTGTATCGGACTTCAGGGAAACAGCCGCGTGTAAACTCCTGTTTTCCCCCTTGGAGTGGGTGGAGCCTGGGGGTCCCGACTCTGGGAGCCTTGAAAGTCAACACAACACACCGGTCACAGCGTGAAAACCAGCAGACCTCCCCACCTCCTTCAGTGACTCAAATGAGATGATGCCAAACCACGGGGCCTTTTGCTATCAGGACTGCTAAGTGATAACTCCCTCCATATCTCTGCCAGCACAGGGGTCATGGCTGACATTGGACGAGATGTGGCAGAGCCTCTATAGTGGTTTGTGGGCTGTAATCCAGTTTGCCTCTTCTGGAATTGCTGCAGTCGTGGATTAATAAGGCTGGAAAACCACATGGCAGCCATGGCCGTCTCTGCCTCCTACCAAAGTTGTTTCTATCTAGGAAGGTTGTTTAGGGCAGGACACTGGCCACCACTCTGGGGGAGCTCTAGACACAGGTAGCATTGTTTTATTGGGGGTGGATCACCATTTCTGGCTTCTTTCCCTCTTTTTCCACTATAGTTTCATTACTTATGGGAGGTCTCTCATGCTTTGTCCTCCCCCACCTCTCCCAGGGGATTAAACTCAGGCTCTTTGTACGTAGAAGGCAAACACTCTACACTGAGTTACACCCCAGTCCCTTTCTCATTTAGAGACAGGATACCTCTAAGTTGCCCAGGTTGGCCCTGAACTTATGGCCCTTACCCTCTGGAGTAGCTGGAGCTACAGTGTACTACATGGAGGCTCGCTCTCTGTGTGTGCGGTGTTGTTATTTTAAGATGTGGATTTCTGAACTCACTATGTGGCTTTCTGACCTTGGAGTTCTGATCCCTGATACCCTTGTCCCACGTCCCAAGTGCTGGAATTAGAGGTAGGTGCCATCACGCCTGTTTTTTTGTTTGGTTCCATTGTTGTTATTGTTTTGGCCTCTTATGGGATGGTTCTTTGTTGCTGTTTCGTTTTTGAGACCAGGTTATACAGTTACATAGATTATATAGTTATATAATCCAGGCTGGTCTTGAACTTTTATATCTTTCTTCCTTGGGTTCCAGAGTAGCTGGAACTACAGGTGTCAGCAAAATGTCCTCCTACAGGTTTTGTCCCTAGAAGCAGGATGTATACGGAGTTCCAGCCGGGCCTCTGGAGTGGCCTATGCCGGGCTTCTCACTTCTGCCTTTTCTAGCACCTCAAAATTCCAACCAAGGACCACACAAAACCTATGGTGGCAGAGTAGAGTAACTTGGCCTAACAGGACTGAATGGAGTTCTTCCCAAGTTCAAGTGATGTAGGGAAGAAAACGTGTGAGTCTAGACTGGGAGCCAGAGGAATCTATGCATGTGCACTCTTGACAGCCTCTATGTGTCTTCAGAGGGATGACCACTCGTGTCTGCACTATGCAATACCAACGTTCCTCACTGTGACATGGCTGTCCCTTTTACTGCTTCTGTTCCAGGCAGAAAAGAAAATGAAAATACGTCCCCAAGATGTTCACCACAATTTAGCCCACCCTGATCAGAGCCAAATAATGCCTGGATGACGACCTAACCCCTGAAGACAAGGACCCACTGGACACTGAACTTCCAGGAAAAGGCCAGAAAATGAGTTTCAAATGACAGGAAGCAATCTAATAATTAACCCTAAACATCACCAGAGGAAACCATTAACTATGTATATGGTTCTCTGCATTCTGTACACAGAAATGTGAACTTTAGGTGGGGATAAAGGCAGTCACAATTCACTAGAGTGAGCTGGGTGTGGCTGGTTTGTACCTGTACCAGCTACTCAGGAGATAGGGTGGGAGGTGTACTCCAGTCTGTAAGTCTGACACCTGCCTGGGCAACTTAGCTAGACACTGTCTCAAAGAAATAAAGAAAGAAAGGAAGGAAGGAAGGAAGGAAGGAAGGAAGGAAGGAAGGAAGGAAGGGAAAAAGAAAAAGAGGAAAACTACAGAAAAACACAAAGGCCGAAAAAAAACTTTGTCCTACACACACATGTACACACACCACTAATTCATTACTGTGAAAGTCAAGATTCTCACCTTTCTGGAGGTATGAACAAAGATTTCTGGGGTTTGTAGAAGAAAGTATTCATCTCTGTCATTGCATTTAATGGGTGAAATAAAGTTGATGCGTGATAAAATACATTTCCCTGGGGAATGTGCAATTTTACCTAAATGGAGACTCTTTCTTCTTTTCCTTGCAGGTGCTCATGCTCGGCTTCTTGGAATGGGAGGCCCCGAGGTCGCAGTCCTCAAAGCCGTCACAGCTGTCTCCAGACTTGAAGACCGTCTGGCCCCAGCGTCTCCGAGCTCCTTTATGGCCCAGTGTGTTGACTGACTTCTGTGGTGAAAAAGAACGCGCCACCAAAGTCCTAAAATATCTAAGATTTGCACAAGCAATTGGACATCAAAGTGTCTCAATTCTCAGTCACCCTTCCCTTTATAATTACATGTCCCTGAAGGACAGGACATGTCCTGAGAAATGCATCCACGGGTAACTGTCATCATGCAGACTTCATAGAATGTACTTACAAAACCCTAGGTGCTCTAGTCCACCAATGCAGCTCTTAATTCACAGGCAACAAATGTGTTCCGAATGTATTATACTGAATACTGTTGGGAACTGTGGGGTATGGTTACTACTGTGTATCTAAGCATACGTAAACATAGACAAGGTACTGCGAAGAGGCTGGGGATGTAGGTTAGCAGTAGATAGAGCACATTTGTAGCACACACAAGGGCCCAGATCCAACCCAGCTACCTGGTACGCCACTCCCTGCCCCTCCCCCCCCCAAAAATGGAGAAAAGAGCAGCAAGCACTTGGAGCAGCTAACTGCGTCCGTTCAGGGGCAGAAAGAGAACAGACTGTGCACACCTACAGGCTGCTCAGCTTGCTGCCTCCTTCTCAATACAGTACAGGACCCTAAACAAGGAACAGTGCCACCTAGTCTCAGGCTGGCTCTTCCTGCGTCAATGAATATAATGCCAATAATTCCCCACAGACATAAGTGCAGGCCAACCTGATCTGGGCAGTCTCTCAATGGAGACTCTCGGCCCAGCTGATTGTGTCACACCGACAATGAAAACCAGCCATGACCTGGTACTAGAGGTCTGAGGTTTGGGGTGGCCCTTCATAGTCCGAATCTAGAAAACCGGGATGTGATTGTGAGCCGTCCTGTCCTTCTCATTAAGTAAAACAGCCTTATGGAGTACATCGAGGTTGTCCTGTCTCTGTGTCTTTCAGCAATGACTTTTAAATATAGGGCCTCTGAGACAGCTGGGGTGGGTTGGGATGTAAGTCACCTGCTGAAAAGCCAGACAACCCGAGTCTCATTCCAGGGACTGCAGGAAGGAGAGAGAGAACAGATGCCTGTGGGTTGCCCTGGAAACTCCATGACTGCCCCTCCCCAAGAAAGAAAGAAATATATGCATTAAAATTTAAAAAATTAAATCTATCGTTGAATAGCGTCCTGTTAACGGGGATAAAGAACGAAGAAGTTGTAGCTTAGGACAGACAGAAACCTGGTCTCCTAGAGAATGATAAAGTGGCATGCTACCTGTGAACTGAAAAACACAAAGCAGCTCAAAATAAGGAGCGGAGTCAAGCGGTGGTGGCGCACGCCTTTAATCCCAGCACTCAGGAGGCAGAGGCAGGCGGATCCCTGTGAGTTCGAGGCCAACCTGTTCTACAAGAGCTAGTTCCAGAAGAGGCTTCAAAAGCTACAGAGAAACCCTGTCTTGAGAAACAAAACAAAACAAACAAACAAAAACAAAAATAAAAGAAAAAAAAAGGAGCAGAGCGTGGAAGGAAGGCTGGCTGAGCCACGGCATGAGGATGCTGGAAGAATGGCCCACAAGTGCGCAGAGCTGGTGACATCTGGATAGGCGATGGCAGGAAATGGTCCCTGCCAACCTCTGCACCGTCATTCACTTAGCCAGGAGGAACACTTTCCAAACCAATCGGAATTAAAAGATCCAAAGCTCTGGGAGCTGAATGCTGACCCCTGTCAAGCCACGTCAGTAAGTACAGAGTGACCCTGCATGTTTGGGAAGTCTGGAATGGGGCAGACAGAAGTAAGGCCTTTAAAACAGGAAGTGAAATTTTGCAACCGATGTCAATACTTTGTCATAGCATGAGGGTAAAAATTCTAGGAAGCAGGTGGGTCATATAAGCCGCCATTTTTCAGAGAGCTGTGACTCCATCGGATGTGGTAGGAAGTACACATGAGCACGGGTCAACCTGGTGTCACGAGTTGTCACGCTGCCCTCAGCAATGGAACAGTTAGAGGTCGGTGAATGTGGATCAGTATGTAGTCTAATAATTTAACGAGTGATCAGCCAATCGATGCCAGCCTAGAAGGTTCTCTCACTGCTTCCCAAGAGCATCCTGCTTTTCTGTTCCTCATGTAGACACAGGACAAGACACAGACAACTAAATAGATCCACAGATGTCAGGACTGTTAAACCCCAGAGCAAAAATAAGGATGCCAGAATAAGAAGTTTTGGGGGTAACTGAACTTTTAAACACTTTGAACCCTAGAGATGGGGTTCAAAGATGCAAGATGAAGTGCAGAACATGTGATCTGCGAAACCATCTAGTAACAAAACAGACTTGGAAATTTTCATGGGAGGAACATTCCATCGCAGTTCTGGATGCATTAGCCATATAAATATGGAGGGTTAGTTGTTAGGCTATAACTTGGTGAATATGCCCAGGGGCTGAACACAGTGTACAGTTCTTAGACACTGCTCGATAAATACAAACTTTTCTTTCCTCTCAGTGTGCACCAGCATCCGGTGGCATTCTGAAGGGGGAAGAAGAAATGCAGCCCTCAGTGACCGGAATTGCCTTTCAGTTTTGGGAGGTTGGAAGCCATTTCTCCTGCTTTACCCTCCCTGGTATGTCTGTCTGCTTCTAGTTCAGGAAGCTCCATTCTCAGTGGCCAGCAGAGGGAGGAAAGGGGTTGGAGGCCTGTCAGAACAAGAGCCAGAGGGAGCTGGGGATGTTTCACCCAGAGGGCAGATGATACAAGGCTGTTTTCAAATTCCTGAAGGGCTGCCTTTCCAAAAGAATGATATCTTCTATTATACGGCACAGAGAACCACATCCTCCCTCCTATTACAGTCCACGGGGAACCACATTCTCCCTTCTATTACAGTCCACGGGGAACCACATTCTCCCTTCTATTACAGTCCACGGGGAACCACATTCTCCCTTCTATTACAGGCCACGGAGAACCACATTCTCCCTTCTATTA